ATGGCAAGTAAAAAAGAAATTGAAATTATAATGGAGGAAAAGTTCAAAGCGCAAGAAAGTTCGCTTTTAAAATAGTATCAGGAAATGCCTCAATACAAAACGACAAAATGGATAAAATTTTACATTCAATAGAAAATATAACAAATCGTATTTCAAAAGTTGAAAAAAAAAAACAAAGCTTGCAGAAATGTATTGACGATTTACAAAAAAGTATTAAGTTTACTCAAGATACCTTAAATAATGAAAAACTCGTACACGTCGAAAAAGAACTTAAAAAGTTTATGAATACGGAAATTACTAAAGTTGTAAATCAGACCGTACAGCTAAAAACAACGCAGATCGAAGCAAGCAAATTAAATGATGCACTACAAGAAAAAATTAGAAAACTAGAAGATAGGAATAGAAGAAACAATATTAGAATTGACGGTGTACGAGAAAATGAAAAAGAAACATGGGATCAAACTGAAAAAAAAGTTCAACAAATATTTAATGATCAGTTAAAAATAAGTAACATTATTATTGAACGAGCGCACCGTATCGAAAGACGCTTTAACCCAGAGAAAATAAAGAATAAACCCAGAACAATCATTCTCAAACTGTTAAATTATAAAGACAAAGAAAAAATTTTGGAAAACGCAAAGATGCTGAAAGGTACAGGTATTTTTATTAATGAAGATTTTTCATTTGAAACTAACAAAATAAGACGCGAATTAAGTGAAAAGATGAAGATTGAGCGTAACGCTGCAAAATATGCTATTATTGAGTACGATAAGTTAATAGTGAGAGAGTTTAATCTAAAACCTAAATAAGTAATTTTATTTTTTATTTATGTTTCAAAATTTTATATAAAAACCATGCATAAAAATGGAGCAAAACTCTATATTTCAATTTTCTAATGAAAATATTAATGATAATGACACTGAAACAGACTGTTTTGACAAATTGAATTTTGAAAGCAAATACTACTCAGTTTACCAATCTGCACAATATCTTAAAAATAATAAAAACGCATTTTCAATTTTAAATATTAACATCCGAAATCTAAATAAAAACTTTGAAAATTTAAAAATTCTATTGGACGAAATAAAACATGATTTTAGCATTATTTGTCTAACAGAAACGTGGTGTAAATGCAATAAACAAAGTACACTGTTTGATTTAAGTAAATACACGTCAATTCATCAACCACGTGAAAGTTATGGTGGCGGAGGCGTTAGTATTTTTGTCCACAATTTAATTGATTTTTTCCCTCGTAATGACCTATGCGTTAGTGAAACAAATTGTGAGTCGTTGTGCATTGAACTTTATAATAAAACCACAACAAATATAATTGTTAATGCTATTTATAGAAAGCCATCTGGTTAAAAAAATTTAAGACTCACTTTAAGACTCACATTTTTAACTAAAGTCAATAAAGAACGGAAGCATATTTACGTTGTCGGCGATATCAATTTGAACTTGTTAAAACAAGCTTCAAACAAAATTAAGCATTTTATCGCTAAACTTCTTCAACATAATGTTTTTCCAACAATAAATAAACCAACCAGAATAACTAAGAAATCTTCTACTTTACTTGATAACATAATCACTAGCAATTTTTATAACAACTATATTTCCACAGGTATAATCAAAACAGACTTATCAGATCATTTTTCTACTTTTTTAATAACTAATAATATAACAATTAATAATAATTCTTCTAAATTTATAATATACAGGCGGCAGATCAATAAATACTCTTTACAAAAATTTCAACACCTTTTAAAATATAACGTTGATTGGGATCTTATAATGCAATCGGTAGAGGTAAATAATGCCTATGAACTATTTCTTAAATTTTTTTGTGAGCAATATGAAAAATCTTTTCCGGAGAAAAAAATTGTTATAAATACCAAGTCATATCAAGCTCCATGGATGTCTAAACGCTTAATAAAATCTTCAAAGAAAAAAAAAAGTTGTATGAAAAATTCTTAAAAAAAAAAACGTATGAAAATGAAACAAACTACAAACTTTATAAAAATATATTTGAAAAAACTAAACAACAGTCAAAAAATTTTACTATTCAAAGTTGTTAAAAAAAACTAACGGAAATGCCAAGAGTACGTGGAGCGTAATTAAAGAAATTATTGGCAGAAAAAATAATGGAATAAGTATTCAACCAAAGAAACTCTTAGTAGATGGTAAAATTATATATGAAAAGTCAATAGTAGCTGAAAATCTAAACAGCTTCTTTCTTAATATTGGTCCAAACTTAGCTGAAAAAATTCCTTCATGTTCATCATCGTTTCATTCTTATTTAAAAATATATGATAAGGTCTTGGACGAATCTAAACTAGATATTAATTAGTTACGATATGCTCTAGATAATCTTAAAAACAACACAAGTGTAGGTTTTGATAATATTAGCATAAATGTTGTTAAATCAGTTTTTCATATTATAGAAACTCCTTTATATCACATTTTTAATCTTTCTCTTCAATCTGGAACAGTTCCAGAAAAATTAAAAATTGCACGGGTCTTGCCTATTTTTAAGTGTGGCGATGACACCGATTCTTCAAGTTATAGACCAATATCAGTTTTACCATGCTTTTCTAAGTTACTCGAGCGTATAATCCCAGCAAACATGTAAGCGTTCAATCAACGTTGAAAACCAGTCGCAGCGTAGAAAAAGCGTTACAGTCACAAAAACAACGTGCTTTCAACGTTGAATCAATGTCTGTTTTTGTATACTAAATCGCGGTAAATTGAAACGTTGAATAAGCGTTGAAATTGTAACGTAATTTAGCCTTTCAAAATAAAACGTTTATTCAACGTGGAATCAATTTACGCAAAAAGCCACTTTAAAAACGTTTTGAAGTATATGCTTTATCAACGTTAAAAACATACCGCTTTTTAAACGTTACATTTTCAACGTTGAATAAGCGTATAAATGTAAACGTATCTTATCTTCTCAAAAAAATGCGTTTATTAAACGTTGAAAATAAGTACGCAAATAATCACTGTAAAAACGTCGCAATAGTAATGGTTTATCAACGTTAGACATTAGCTGCTTTTTCAACTTATTTAAACTATTTGAAAAACAACACTTATTCAACGTTATTTCAACGTTGGTTGAAAATGTGGTAATTAAAAAACGTTGCAAAAGTGTTACTTTGCCAACGTTAATAAAACGTTGTTTTGACAATGTTGAGGAAGTGGCACATTGAAAATTATTGTCTCAATAACTAGCCATTACAAAAATAATTTGCCTTAATGGAAAGGCAAGGAAAACTTGATAGAATGCATGCATATAGTATAAAATTTTTTTTAATAAAGTTATATTTCATAGCCTATTTTATTGCGACTAATTTAAAACTTTTAGATTTTATATCAAAATGTATATAAAGTACATATATCTCAGGGTAAATTTGATTTATTCAGCTTGTTTTTGTCAATATTTTATTTTGTTTTAAGTTGACGATTTTAATAAAATGCTCAACTTTTTTAAACATTTATTTCTTAGTTAGAAATAGTACTTAGTTTTAATACGATTCACATTTATAAAATATTATCAAAATTAATAAAAATAATAAGTCAGACTAATTTAAGTTTGTTAACAGAATGAATTTTTTAGTTTATTTAAAAATTATCACTTATACATACATACATATATATATATATATATATATATATATATATATATATATATATATATATATATATATATATATATATATATATATATATATATATATATATATATATATATATATATATATATATATATATATATATACATATATATATATATATATATACATATATATATATATATATATATATATATATATATATATATATATATATATATATATATATATATATATATATATATATATATATATATATATACATTTATATATATATATGTGTATATATATATATATATATATATATATATATATATATATATATATATATATATATATATATATATATATATATATATATATATATATATATATATATATATATATATACATTTATATATATATATGTGTATATATATATATATATATATATATATATATATATATATATATATATATATATATATATATATATATATATATATATATGTATGTATGTATGTATGTATGTATGTATGTAAGAGAGGCATATTGTGTATAATAAATACATGTTTTTTTTTTTTTTTTACATTACAAAATATTGTCATGTCTAGTCATTTTTATTGAAAAATATAAAAGTTGGTATAATGGTTTGGAAATTTTATAAAAGATTTATTATCAATATTTAAGAGTTAAATATTTTATGAGGAATTTAATATTTATATAGTTTAACATTTATTTATTACTTTATTAAGAGTTTGTATACTAGTTTTATTAAGTATCTGAATACAGACCTATGAAGTCTCTCCCATTTGACAGGAGTTTTCTGAATTTTGAAGAGAAATTTATCTCCAACCTGCATTTAAAAATAATTTAAAAACTTTCTTTTCCTCATTAGTAACTTAAAATACACCAAGCTTCTAACTTTTTAAATAGTTTTCATTTTATTTTTAAGTTAAGAAAAATGGTTAAAGATTGTTAAAAATTGCTTAACACAAACATAAATATATAAAAGTATATCTATACAGAATAAATTTCAGCTCAGTCATTGGCAAAATTTGGACATTTTTAAGTTAGTTGTCAGAGTAATAAATCATTAAAAAACTTTTTTAGTCAATAGAGGTATTTTAGTAGACAAATATCCAGTGGTATAAAATTTTTTCCAAGTCTCCCTTGTAAACATTTTCAAAACATGACAGCTATGTGTATACACATAAAAATTATGTATATATATATACATGTATATATATATATATATATATATATATATATATATATATATATATATATATATATATATATATATATATATATATATATATATATATATATATATATATATATATATATGTATATATATATATATATATATGTGTGTGTGTGTGTGTGTGTGTGTGTGTGTGTGTGTGTGTGTGTGTGTGTGTGTAAATAATGTATATATAAAGATTTATATATACATAATTTACATATACATTAGGTTTGAAGCAGAGGCAGTTGTTCCATCTTGTTCGAAAAAAGATGGATGGTTATTTTGGTCAACTTGTGTTCATGCAATGAAAGCTACCTATAATAATTTTTCAATCATTGACTCATGCAACAAACTTAGACTTAAAAGAGTTAAAGTAACTGGAGGTCATTAAATTTTTAAGTAATTATTGCTATTTTAATTGTTTTATGAATAAACAAACTATTATAGCTTTATTCTAACGGTGAAGTATTATATTAAATAAACTATTTTATTTTTATTTCCGAATAAGTAATATTTTGAATCTGGTTATGGTATTATTACTGCCTAGATATATATTGTAATCTGTTTACACTTATTCTACTTTTTTGTTTTTACATAATTTTATTTATATTTAATTTACTAAATAATTACTAATAGATAAAGAAGTATGTGCACGATTTAATTTCACAACTAAAGAGGACTCCAAAGAAGAATGTAAGTAATTATGTTTGTGAATAATTTTGTTTCTCTTCGGATTTAACTTTTCTTTGTTTTTTATATAGTGAAGAATAAAAAAAAGTTTAATATTAACTATTGGTCAAAGCTGATTTCAATAATACTGTCTGAATTTTTTGACTTGTGGTAGTTTGATTACCAGTAAAAATTTATTTAGTAAAGTTCTGGTGGATTAAAGATCGAGGAATGATTTGGTTTTAACTGGTTTGCATCTTATGAACGAAGTACATAATATGATTTAAATTAATGATTTATAGTTACACCTATTGAAGTAAGTTTTATTTAGTTAATTAATGTATGGATACATAACTACTTTTAGTTGCAAAATTTATTATATATATATATATATATATATATATATATATATATATATATATATATATATATATATATATATGTATATGTATATGTATATGTATATGTATATGTATATATATATATATATATATATATGTATATATATATATATATATATATATATATATATATATATATATATATATATATATATATATATATATATATATATATATATATATATATTATTGTTATTAATATTGTATAATATGTTATAATAATTATAGGGTTTTTATTTGTATACCAACAATACCAACAATATTGCAATATTTTTTTATAGTAAATAAATGAATTTCGTTGTCTAACAAAAATTGTGGATTTTAAGTCCAGAATTTAAATCCATAAGACAATTTAGTTAATAACACTGTTGAAAACTAACCAAAAGTCTCAAGAATCGACATCTAAGATAAAATACAAGGTTTAGTAAACTGAGAATAACAGAGATTTACATCAGACAAGACTTTATTTATACATTAGTTTATTGCAATAATAAAAAGGACAATTTTTTCTTAAGAGAGATGTTCTTATAAAAAAGGTGAAAAACGTAGTTAATGTTGAAAGATGTAGAGTAGAATGAGGCTTGATTTAAAACTGAAGAGAAGTAATAAAAGCTTCCAAACTTTTATTCCAGAAGCAATATAAGCTTCCAAGATCCACTTTTTGCACACATATTATGGATATAAGCATATTTGTTTGCTATTTGTTTAGATGCTGGCATACAATATCCTTTCATTGTTGTATAAACTTTAGTATTTATATAGTGTAGTATTTGCCAAAAGAGAAAATGATCAGATGAATGTGTGGTGTGACTCTAACAAGACATAAAAAGTAGCCATATTCTTAGACAGATTAGAAAAAACATTGTATCAAACAACCTTTTTTTTTAGAAAAAGTTAAAGTAATTCAGGTATTAACATGTAGAGTGGTAGCAGCTTCAGTATAAAATGGTTGTGGTAGAAGTAAGAAAGTTTGAAGAGTGTGCCTTACATAGTGCCATAATAAAGATGATGATGATTATCATGATGACGATCAACAACATCAACATAATTTTTATTATCATTGTCAAGCTTTCCGCTTTTATGCTGTTGATGATGATGATGGTGATGATGGTGATGATGATGGTTATGATGATTATGATGATCATGTTGATCACAATGATGTTCATATATGCATATATATACAAAATATAGCAAGAATTTTAAATTATGCTTATAAATATATTATAAATATATATTATATTATATAATATATATTATAAATATACTTTAGGATGTATAAATGTTTATGCAGCCTGGTCTCAAATCCGGCCCTGGCCCCGGCTTTATTTTATCAATCCCGGCTCCGACCCCAGTCAAATATCAACCTTAGTTGTTTACTACAAAACAATTTAAGAATAAAAAACGTCGTGTTATTTTTAAAAACAATTACTTATTTTATGCTATATATATATATATATATATATATATATATATATATTATATATATACATATATATATATATATATATATATATATATATATATATATATATATATATATATATATATTTACTTTTTAAATTTAATAATAATCATACTAATTCAATAACATTTTTTAAACATTTACTTTCATATTGATAATGATACAAGTTTTATTTTTTGATTTAGATTTTGTATCTCAATGATATCCTGGCTTATTGATACGATATCCTGTAAATCCACTCACACACATAAATTTTACTCACACATGTAAATTCTGTAAATTCACTCACACACATAAATCTTAAAAAAGATGTTTATATTTTTATCTATAAATTGTAAATTTTATATAAATAAATTGTATATTTTTTATGTTTTTCATTGTATATTACTATTTGTATTAAAAATCGACTTTAGAAATATTGCAAGTGCAGAGTTCAACATACAATTTTGTTTTATTTGCAAATTTAATATACACTATAACCAAGTTTAATCACGTTTAATAATATTTTGCGATATTTTCTCCAGCGCATTTGAGCGTTGATTTAACGTTATATTTCAACCTTTACTCGACGTCTTTGAGTCACGTTAAATCGACGTTTTACTGCCAACGTTACAAATCCTTGCAAATTCGACTGCTTTAACAACGTTAAAGTAACGCTCTCCAAGTAACGTTTTTTCAACGTTAAGTTGCGGCGCCTATGCAACGCTTTTTAAGTAACGGTTTTTCAACGTTTAGTTGAGACATTTTTGTAACGTCTTCTAGTAACGTTTTTTCAACGTTACGCTACAACGATTAATCAACGTCTCTTTAACAACGTGACATATCTTTGCAAAATCGATTACTTTGTCAACGTTTCCGCAACACCTTTTGCGACCGGTTTTCAACGTTGATTCAACGCTGACATGTTTGCTGGGATGTATAATAGGCTATTACTTAACAGTAAATAACATGTTGTACAACAAGCAATTTGGCTTTAAAAGAAGTCATTCAACTGATCACGCTTTGACCGAGTTAGTAACTCATGTAACCAATGCCTTTAATGATGACCGTTTTACATTAAAAGTATTTATTGATCTATCTAAAGCCTTTGACACAGTCAACCATGTCATTCTTTTTAAAAAAAACTTGAACATTATGGAATAAAAAACAATAATTTACTATGGTTTAAAGATTACTTATCAAACAGGCAGCAATACATTCAATATGAAAATGTTAAAACGACAAAAAGTATAATAAAATGTGGAGTTCATCAAGGCTCAATCTTAGGACCGTTACTGTTTTCTCTTTATATAAATAACCAACCAAAACAGGAAACCTTCCTTTAAAATTACCCAATCTTAAAATCAATAATATAAATATTACTAGGCAAACAACTGTAACCTTTTTAGGTATTATTTTAGACGAAAATTTAACATGGATGAAACATATAAACACTCTTGAAAGAAAACTTTCAATAAACATTGCAATGATGTATAAAGCAAAACCATTTTTGGATATAAGATCTCTAAAAAGTTTATATTTTTCCTTCATTCATAGCTATCTAACTTACGGCAATATCGTAAGGGCAAGCAACAGCTACGCTAAGTTAAAGAAAATTTATACTAAACAAAAACATGCATGTAGAATTGTATTTGGAGTAAAAAGATCTGTGCCTTGTGAGCCACTTTTACGTAAACTCAATGCATTAAATGTGTTTAAAATTAACATATTCCTCGTCATACAGTTCATGTATCAAATAAAACATGGACTGTCTCCAGAGATATTCTATCCTTATTTTAGAGAAGTAAGCCATAAATACCCCACCAAGTTCTCAGAAAATAACTTTGTAACTCAAAAGTATAATCTAAAGTTATGATCTTATTCTATTCAGTACAGGGTTCCAATTTTGTGGAAAAACTTTCAGCATATTGTTAATATTAAAGAAAAAACACTTCCGCAATTCAAATCTAAATTAAGACGTTATTTAATACTTACGGATTTTAATATAGCAGATCTTCAATGTCACTTTTAAAGCTTTAAAATTTATTAAACTAAATTAGCACCATAAATTTAAAAATCTAGACCATTTAACAATACTAAGAATTTCAATGTCTTTATCATACTTTCATTGAATATATATATTCTCTTAAAGTTACCTACAATTTTCTTGATATATTTTATAATATTGGAACAAAATTTTTATTCGAATTTTGAATTATTTTGAAAGAAATAATATATACAAATATATATGTCGAATCACATCCAATTTATAACCAAAAACAGAAAATTTTTGTCATTTTTATTACTATATTTTAATCATTTATTTATTTATTTTTTTTTTTTTTTTCTTTCATTATTTTAATTTTTTTTTTTTTTTTTTTTTTTTTTTCTTCTTTTTAACTTTGTTTCTTAACATTTTAAATTGTCTTTTTTTAAATACTTTTGCTTATATATTACGGATTATTGTATATTACGGATAGTTATTTGCGTTACTATTGGGGCTCGGTGATAAGGCTATTTTATGCCTTCTTCTTGCTCCAGCCAATTGTACTTTTTATATTGCTGTACTTTGTAAATATTTTTAACGGCGAAATAAACTAATAAACTAAATAAACTAAACTAAAAATTTGGATTTGCGGATGTTTGAAATATCGTTTTTTAGTCTACTTTGAAAACAGCTGGTTAAGTGCGGAACTTGATGTTTTTTATTAGCTCTGATAAATTGTTTTCAAAAGCTAACATTTTGTTGATTTGCTTTGGACAGTGCGGTGTTTTTAACCCATAAAAACTATATTTAAAATCGTACTTATTTTGCGAACTACTGTTTAGATAGAAAAAAGCCTTCCATCGCATTTTCTTGATCAAGATTTCGGTTTTGTCTAATAATTGCTTTTTATAGTCTTTAATTGATGGAATTGGAATATTCTTGACTGAATATTTCAAGTTTGTTTTCTCCATTCACGTATACGACCTGAGTAGAGTGCTTAACTTATGGAGCAAAATATTTTGTATATTTTGTATAATGTTTTTTGTAAAATAATGTACAAGAAAACTCTTGTTCGTTTAAAAGTGATCAATATTATAAACACAAAGATTTTTATAATAGATCTAATATAAATACTTAGTAATAAAATGAGAAAAATACAACTTTTTGTTGGTACTCAGAGTTTCATGCCTGGCGGAAATTATCAGCCATATATATTTTTAAATCAAGAAATTAAAAAACCGTTTAAAATACAAATTAAGCAATGCAATGGGATCTGACGTCAAAACATCAACTAAACGAAGTCTACCTTTAGCCTATGTCGAATTGACAAACAATAACAAACAATAACAATAACAATATATTTCGTGTTACAAATGTTACAAAAACACAGGTCATTGCAAATAGTGATTCACTAATAAAGCGCATTGACCTAAATAAGATAAAAAATAATAATAACAATAATAATAATAATAATAATAATAATAATAATATGTAATAAGTAAAACCACATAAAAAATAGGTTATAAAAGGAAGTTAAATAACATAATATAACTAATAAAAGTAAAATTGCATAAAAATTTATTTAGTTATACCAAAAAATTCAGACTTTTTGAATATATATATATATATATATATATATATATATATATATATATATATATATATATATATATATATATATATATATATATATATATATATATATATATATATATATACATATATATATATATATATATATATATATATATATATATATATATATATATATATATATATATATATATATATATATATATATATATATATATATATATATATATATATATATATATATATAACATAATTAATATAATGTACATTTATATATGCACATATACTTTAACAAGAATTATAATAAAATTAGTAAATTATAATAAAAATTATAATTTAAAATAAAATAATAAAAATAAAATTATAATAAAATAATAAACTATTTTAAAAATAAAAAATAATTCAAAAGGTAGAAAGAAAGAAAAGTAAAAAGTAAAGTTAAGCGTAACCTTTTAGGTAGAAATGATGGAGTGACTTTAAGAAAAAATAGAAATAAATTTCTTCTTTAAACAAAGAAGAAATTTATTTCTATGCCGACATTTTGATATAGTTTCAGTCTTTTTATTTAATAAACTATTGTCATTATTTGAAATAATTTCATATTTTTTTTTAAGGCATAATTTGCACGATTTTGTTGTCAGGTTATATGCTTCACATCTTCTAATTATTTTCCAATTGATCACAGGATTTTTATCATTATCTTTTAAGATAATTTTTATTATTATCTCTTAATATTGATCAATGCTCTTTGAAACTTACACTTAGCTTAACACACACATATATATATATATATATATATATATATATATATATATATATATATATATATATATATATATATATATATGTATATATATATATATATATATATATATATATATATATATATATATATATATATATATTATTTGCATTCACTCCCAACAAGGCTGCAAGCAACCACTATTATGTTGGAAGTTACTAGGAACAAAAAGAACAGAGTTATAGAGCTAGAAAAAGGTTGACAGAAGGCTTGAAAAGTTGAAGGTTGTATGAGTCAGGAAAACATGAAGATGGGAGAGAGTTCCAAAAGATTGAAGTGCGGGGAAAAAAACTAGATGAATAAAAGTTTTTAGAGCATGCAGGGACAGATACAGTAAACAAATGAGACTTAGCTGAATGACGAGTAAAACGAGAATGAATTTTAGTTGATGGAACTAGAGATGATAACTCCTTTGAGCAGTGACCATGATAGTATTTGTAGAAAAGAGAAAGAGATGGAACTTTGTGACGATGGGAAAGAGGTTCAAGCTTAGCAGATAGTCCAGGTCCAACAACATTTACAATGCGTTTTTGGATCTTGTCAAGAAGAGAAAGTGAATCGTTAGAAGAACCAGCCCAAATATGACAACAGTATTCCATACAGGGACGAATAAGGGATTTTCAGAGGTAGAGAATGGAATCAGAAGTAAGGAAATGGCGAGCACGATAAAGAGAAGCAACCTTAGCGGAAACTAATTTAGCAATCGATTGTATATATGGTTTCCATAAAGGGTCAGTAGCAAGCGATAATCCAAGAAGACGTAAAGAGGAGGACTTAGTAAGAGGATTGCCATTCATTAATATAGGAATGTTGACCATATTACGGTAGTTGTTTGCAGTAAACAACTGGGTTTTGTTAGAGTTGAAATTAACAAGCCACTGTGAACCCCAATCTATCACTGAAGTGAGATTGGATTCAAGATCAGCTGCTTGTT